GGGTGAGTGTGTTGGCAGACCATGATGTCGACTAAATCTTGTCGCCAAGTTCCGAACTTTTACCGTTGTATATAAAATAAACGAAAACACGTTTGTCCTGCGGAGGGAGGAGGTGGCAGTAGAAACGTTGGGTTGCTCGATCGATGGCCAGGTGTCAACAACAACAACGGCACCACCACGTGGTGGTGGTGCGTTCAGCACAAGCCGGCGTGAGTAGGTGAAACGTTGAGCTTTATAAGGGGGGCACCACGGGGTGAGCAGCCCCCTCCCCAACCCAGCCCCACCCTTCCCATTGTTCGATGCACGACGGACGGACGGACACAATAATCCCCTGTGTGCCGGTGGTGGTGGTGTAGTAACCAGGAGGTACCTGCCTAGTTGTCTGTCAGCTGCCTGTTGTCCTCGTGGTGCCTGTTGTCTGTCAGCTGCCTGTTCTCCTCGTGGTGCCTGTTGTTTGTCAGCTGCCTGTTCTCCTCGTGGTGCCTGTTATCTGTATGCTTTTGAGGCGGCCTTTGAAGCCGTGTAGAGAATCCCCAGAATCTCACTAGCAGCACCCCTACCCCCGGTCATCACCCCCTTTTTGGCTCCAAGCGATTGATTATTTTTATTTTATTTAAAGCTTTCGTGACTGCAGGGATTCATATTCTTGGTTCTATCGGTAAAGTCACCACCACGTAGATAAGGAAACAATAAAATAATAATGAAAATATATTGCTTTTATATATTTTTTTTATTATTTTATTGTTTCCCTTCTACGTGGTGACTTTACCGAAAGAACCAAGAATACGATTGATTATTATTAAAATAAAATATTGGCGGAATTATTCTCAATATTCATTTTGGAAAAAGGCCTACATATATACACAACACTGGGTATTTTGTACCATCGGACACTCCACCCCCACAACTTCCAATTGGTGATGGGGCAGTTGTGGAGAGAGTGGAGAGTTTCCCATACCTGGGCAGTGTGCTCATGACCGGCTCCAGTTTAACAGCAGAGGTCTCACTCCGAATCAGTCGAGCGGCAATATCTTTTCATCGGTTGCGTAACGCTGTGTGGAAGCTACCTGGTCTGTCGCTCCGCACGAAGCTTCAGGTCTTCTCGGCCACGGTCATTCCCTCCCTTCTCTACGCTTGCGAAACGTGGACCCCCATAATGGAACATCTTCGCCGGTTAGAAACAATTAGGCTGGCCTGCCTACGATCCATCCTGGGTTTAACCTAGCTGGATTGTGTGAGGAGCTCACAAATCCTTGAAAGATCTGGGCAAGGTCCCATCGGTGAGCTCCTCCGGCAGGCAAGGCTGCGTTGGCTGGGTCATGTAGCCCGCATGCCCAGCCACCGCATGCCTAAACAGCTTTTGTTCGGCCGGATCGAGGGGGCTAAGCGGGCGCGGCACGGGCTAGAGAAGAGATGGAGTGATGTGGTACAGGAGGACGTGGAGCTGAGTGGACTTGCCGATGACTGGTACCAGCGGTGTCAAGATCGGCTTCTGTGGAGGAGGCTCGTGAAGGACGCTACTGGGCAGTTGGAGGCAGTCGCCCTCCAACAACAACGGAGGGCGGTGGAGCGACGCTCACAACAACGAGCGGAGCGCCGGGTGGCTAAGGCACAGCGAGTTGGAACAGTAGCGGGCACAGGTGGTGCATCAGCCAGTCATCTCAGTCAGTCGACCCGTGGCACCTGCTGGGTCTGCCCCGTGACCTCCTGCCGACGGGTGTTCGTAACTTCACGTGGCCTCAAGGTGCACATAGCCTGGCACAAGCGTCGTGGTGATGTTACCACCACTTAGTGGGGAATGTCGGTTGTTTTTGTTGTATGTCTTTGTGTGTCTGTGTGTGCGTGTGTCAACGTGTTTGTGTGTGTGAGCGGTAGTGTAGTAGTCAGAACAGGTCTCTGTGTGGTGAGTCTGTGGGTCTCTGTGTGATGAGTCTGTGGGTCTTTGTGTGATGAGTCTGTGGGTCTCTGTGTGATGAGTCTATGGGTCTCTGTGTGATGAGTATATAGGTCTCTGGGTGATGAGTCTATGGGTCTCTGTGTGATGAGTCTGTGGGTCTCTGTGTGATGAGTCTGTGGGTCTCTGTGTGATGAGTCTGTGGGTCTCTGTGTGATGAGTCTATGGGTCTCTGCGTGATGAGTCTATGGGTCTCTGTGTGGTGAGTCTGTGGGTCTCTGTGTGGTAAGTCGATGGGTCTCTGTGTGGTGAGTCTATGGGTCTCTGTGTGGTGAGTCTATGGGTCTCTTTGTGATGAGTCTATGGGTCTCTGTGTGGTGAGTCTATGGGTCTCTGTGTGGTGAGTCTGTGGGTCTCTGTGTGGTGAGTCTATGGGTCTCTGTGTGGTGAGTCTATGGGTCTCTTTGTGATGAGTCTGTGGGTCTCTGTGTATAGACTCATCACATTTCATTCGGTTAACGGTTATGCACTGCAAAAAAAAACCGGTTTTACCCTCCCAGGTCTAAATCAGGGCCGTGTACATTACAGAGTGTGTGAAGTCACGTGGCAGACAGCCATTTATATATAGACGAGAGACAGTGAGGCTCACAGAGCCAGACTGAGGCTCCCACAGGGTTAAGTGTCAATCACTGGGGCTCACAGAACCAGACTAAGGCACCCACAGTGTTCAATGTTAATCACTGAGACTCACAGAGCCAGACTAAGACTCCCACAGGGTTCAGTGTTAATCACTGGGGCTCACAGAGCCAGACAAAGACTCCCACAGGGTTCAGCGTTAATCACTGAGGCTCACAGAGCCAGACTAAGGCTCTCACAAGGTGCAGTGTTAATCACTGAGGCTCACAGAGCCAGACTAAGGCTCCCACCGGGTTCAGTGTTAATCACTGAGGCTCACAGAGCCAGACTAAGACTCCCACAGGGTTCAGTGTTAATCACTGGGGCTCACAGAGCCAGACAAAGACTCCCACAGGGTTCAGCGTTAATCACTGAGGCTCACAGAGCCAGACTAAGGCTCTCACAAGGTGCAGTGTTAATCACTGAGGCTCACAGAGCCAGACTAAGGCTCCCACCGGGTTCAGTGTTAATCACTGAGGCTCACAGAGCCAGACTAAGGCTCCCATAGGGTTCAGTGTTAATCACTGAGACTCACAGAGCCAGACTAAGGCTCCCACAGGGTTCAGTGTTAATCACTGGGGCTCACAGAGCCAGACTGAGGCTCCCACAGGGATCAGTGTTAATCACTGAGACTCACAGAGCCAGACTAAGGCTCCTACAGGGTTCAGTGTTAATCACTGAGACTCACAGAGCCAGACTAAGGCTCCCACAGGGTTCAGTGTTAATCACTGAGGCTCACAGAGCCAGACTAAGGCTCCCACCGGGTTCAGTGTTAATCACTGAGGCTCACAGAGCCAGACTAAGGCTCCCATAGGGTTCAGTGTTAATCACTGAGACTCACAGAGCCAGACTAAGGCTCCCACAGGGTTCAGTGTTAATCACTGAGACTCACAGAGCCAGACTAAGGCTCCCACAGGGTTCAGTGTTAATCACTGAGACTCACAAAGCCAGACTAAGGCTCCCACAGGGTTCAGTGTTCATCAGTGAGGCTCACAGAGCCAGACTAAGGCTCCCACAGGGTTCAGTGTTAATCAGTGAGACTCACAGAGCCAGACTAATGCTCCCACAGGGTTCTGTGTTAATCACTGAGACTCACAGAGCCAGACTAAGGCTCCCACAGGGTTCAGTGTTAATCAGTGAGACTCACAGAGCCAGACTAAGGCTCCCACAGGGTTCAGTGTTAATCACTGAGACTCACAGAGCCAGACTAAGGCTCCCACAGGGTTCAGTGTTAATCACTGAGGCTCACAGAGCCAGACTAAGGCTCCCACAGGGTTCAGTGTTAATCACTGAGACTCACAGAGCCAGACTGAGGCTCCCACAGGGTTCAGTGTTAATCACTGAGACTGACAGAGCCAGACTAAGGCTCCCACAGGGTTCAGTGTTAATCACTGAGACTCACAGAGCCAGACTGAGGCTCCCACAGGGTTCAGTGTTAATCACTGAGACTCAGAGCCAGACTAAGGCTCCCACAGGGTTCAGTGTTAATCACTGAGACTCACAGAGCCAGACTAAGGCTCCCACAGGGTTCAGTGTTAATCAGTGAGGCTCACAGAGCCAGACTAAGGCTCCTACAGGGTTCAGTGTTAATCACTGAAAACCACAGAGCCAGACTAAGGCTCCCACAGGGTTCAGTGTTAATCACTGAGACTCATAGAGCCAGACTAAGGCTCCTACAGGGTTCAGTGTTAATCACTGAGACTCACAGAGCCAGACTAAGGCTCCCACAGGGTTCAGTGTTAATCAATGAGGCTCACAGAGCCAGACTGAGGCTCCCACAGGGTTCAGTGTTAATCACTGAGACTCACAGAGCCAGACTGAGGCTCCCACAGGGTTCAGTGTTAATCACTGAGACTCACAGAGCCAGACAAAGACTCCCACAGGGTTCAGTGTTAATCACTGGGGCTCACAGAGCCAGACTAAGGCTCCCACAGGGTTCAGTGTTAATCACTGGGGCTCACAGAGCCAGACTGAGGCTCCCACACGGTTCAGTGTTAATCACTGAAAACCACAGAGCCAGACTAAGGCTCCTACAGGGTTCAGTGTTAATCACTGGGGCTCACAGAGCCAGACTAAGGCTCCCACAGGGTGCTATGGGGGGGGGGGGGGGGGGCTCACAGAGCACTCTTGCAAATTAAATCAACATCACAAGCGTTCTTTTCTGAGCGAAATCTCTTTTTTATTTTTGTTAAATAAACGCCATGAGTTCCCAACGCTCGCAACGCCGCGTTCCAACACACAGCCTGTGCCTAGCACGGTTACAGCTCACGGTTTTCCACAGCCGTGCCAACACAGCCTGTGTCCAGCACGGTTACAGCTCATGGTTTTCCACAGCCGTGCCAAAACAGCCTGTTTCCAGCACGGTTACGGGTCGCGGTTTTCCACAGCCGTGCCAACACAGCCTGTGTCTGGCACGGTTACAGGTCACGGTTTTCCACAGCCGTGCCAACACAGCCTGTGCCTAGCACGGTTACAGGTCACGGTTTTCCACAGCCGTGCCAACAGCCTGTGCCTAGCACGGTTACAGGTCACGGTTTTCCACAGCCGTGCCAACACAGCCTGTGTCCAGCACGGTTACATGTCACGGTTTTCCACAGCCGTGCCAACACAACCTGTGCCTAGCACGGTAACAGGTCACGGTTTTCCACAGCCGTGCCAACACAGCCTGTGCCTAGCACGGTTACATGTCACGGTTTTCCACAGCCGTGCCAACACAGCCTGTGTTCAGCACGGTTACAGGTCACGGTTTTCCACAGCCGTGCCAACACAGCCTGTGTCCAGTATGGTTACAGCTCACGGTTTTCCACAGCCGTGCCAACACAGCCTGTGTCCAGCACGGTTACAGGTCACGGTTTTCCACAGCCGTGCCAACACAGCCTGTGTCCAGCACGGTTACAGCTCACGGTTTTCCACAGCCGTGCCAACACAGCCTGTTTCCAGCACGGTTACAGGTCACGGTTTTCCACAGCCGTGCCAACACAGCCTGTGTTCAGCACGGTTACAGGTCACGGTTTTCCACAGCCGTGCCAACACAACCTGTGTCCAGCACGGTTACAGCTCACGGTTTTCCACAGCCGTGCCAACACAGCCTGTGTCCAAGCACGGTTACAGGTCACGGTTTTCCACAGCCGTGCCAACACAGCCTGTGTCTGGCACGGTTACAGGTCACGGTTTTCCACAGCCGTGCCAACACAGCCTGTGTCTAGCACGGTTACAGGTCACGGTTTTCCACAGCCGTGCCAACACAGCCTGTGCCTAGCACGGTTACAGGTCACGGTTTTCCACAGCCGTGCCAACACAGCCTGTACCTAGCATGGTTACAGGTCCCGGTTTTCCACAGCCGTGCCAACACAGCCTGTGTCCAGCACGGTTACAGGTCACGGTTTTCCACAGCCGTGCCAACACAGCCTGTGTCCAGCACGGTTACAGGTCACGGTTTTCCACAGCCGTGCCAACACAGCCTGTGTCCAGCACGGTTACAGGTCACGGTTTTCCACAGCCGTGCCAAAACAGCCTGTGTCCAGCACGGTTACAGGTTGTAGGTTTTTCCATTACCACAAGCGAGCCGTACCAACACAGCCTACGCCCAGAAATGTTACAGGTTGCGGACTTCCCTAGCCGTGCCAACAGAGCCTGTGTCCAGCACGGTTACAGGTTGTGGGTTTTTTTTCCATTGCCACAAGCAGAGCCGTGCCAATGCAGCCTGTGCCCAGCACGGTTACCGGCTGCGTTGACACGGCACTGCTTTGGCAGTGGATAAATCACCGCAAACCGTGACCTCTAGCATTTCTGTGCACAGGCGGTGTCTGGTTCCGACTCGCTTGTGGTAATGGAAAAACCCCAAAACCCGTAACCGTGCTGGCACAGCTCCGCTTGTGCTAATGGAAAAACCCCAAAACCCATAACCGTGCTGGCACGGCTCCGCTTGTGCTAATGGAAAAACCCCAAAACCCATAACCGTGCTGGCACGGCTCCGCTTGTGCTAATGGAAAAACCCCAAAACCCGTAACCGTGCTGGCACGGCTCCGCTTGTGGCAGTGTGGAAAAACCCCAAAAACCCGTAACCGTGCTGGCACGGCTCGCTTGTGGCAGTGGAAAAAAGTGGCCTTGGTTCTCTCCCCCCGGTCGCAACGCCTCTCAAACCCACGGTGACGGTGACGGTGCCGGTGCCGGTGTCGGTGGCGCTGCCGCTGCTGCCGCAAGGAGCCACCCATCACACGTGGCAGGCCCAACACGTGGCACGTGACAGGTGACAGGTGTAACACGTGCCACGTGACAGGTGTAACACGTGCCACGTGACAGGTGTAACACGTGCCACGTGACAGGTGTAACACGTGCCACGTGACAGGTGTAACACGTGCCACGTGACAGGTGTAACACGTGCCACGTGACAGGTGTAACACGTGCCACGTGACAGGTGTAACACGTGCCACGTGACAGGTGTAACACGTGCCACGTGACAGGTGTAACACGTGCCACGTGACAGGTGTAACACGTGCCACGTGACAGGTGTAACACGTGGCACGTGACAGGTGACAGGTGTAACACGTGGCACGTGACAGGTGTAACACGTGGCACGTGACAGGTGTAACACGTGTCACGTGACAGGCGTAACACGTGGCACGTGACAGGTGTAACACGTGGCACGTGACAGGTGTAACACGTGGCACGTGACAGGTGTAACACGTGGCACGTGACAGGTGTAACACGTGGCACGTGACAGGTGTAACACGTGGCACGTGGCAGGTGTAACACGTGGTACGTGACAGGTGTAACACGTGCCACGTGACAGGTGTAACACGTGGCACGTGACAGGTGTAACACGTGGCACGTGACAGGTGTAACACGTGCCACGTGACAGGTGTAACACGTGGCATGTGACAGGTGTAACACGTGGCACGTGACAGGTGTAACACGTGGCACGTGACAGGTGTAACACGTGGCACGTGACAGGTGTAACACGTGGCACGTGACAGGTGTTACACGTGCCACGTGACAGGTGTAACACGTGGCACGTGACAGGTGTAACACGTGGCACGTGACAGGTGTAACACGTGGCACGTGACAGGTGTAACACGTGGCACGTGACAGGTGTAACACGTGGCACGTGACAGGTGTAACACGTGGCACGTGACAGGTGTAACACGTGGCACGTGACAGGTGTAACACGTGCCACGTGACAGGTGTAACACGTGTCACGTGACAGGTGTAACACGTGCCACGTGACAGGTGTAACACGTGTCACGTGACAGGTGTAACACGTGGCACGTGACAGGTGTAACACGTGGCACGAGGCAGGCCCAACACGTGGCACGAGACAGGTGTAACACGTGGCACGACAGGTGTAACACGTGCCACGTGACAGGTGTAACACGTGCCACGTGACAGGTGTAACACGTGGCACGTGACAGGTGTAACACGTGGCACGTGACAGGTGTAACATGTGGCACGTGACAGGTGTAACACGTGCCACGTGACAGGTGTAACACGTGGCACGTGACAGGCGTAACACGTGGCACGTGACAGGTGTAACACGTGCCACGTGACAGGTGTAACACGTGGCACGAGGCAGGCCCAACACGTGGCACGTGACAGGTGTAACACGTGCCACGTGACAGGTGTAACACGTGGCACGTGACAGGTGTAACACGTGGCACGTGACAGGTGTAACACGTGGCACGTGGCAGGTGTAACACGTGGCACGTGACAGGTGTAACACGTGGCACGTGACAGGTGTAACACGTGGCACGTGACAGGTGTAACACGTGCCACGTGACAGGTGTAACACGTGGCACGTGACAGGTGTAACACGTGGCACGTGACAGGTGTAACACGTGGCACGTGACAGGTGTAACACGTGGCACGAGACAGGTGTAACACGTGGCACGTGACAGGTGTAACACGTGGCACGTGACAGGTGTAACACGTGGCACGTGACAGGTGTAACACGTGGCACGTGACAGGTGTAACACGTGCCACGTGACAGGTGTAACACGTGCCACGTGACAGGTGTAACACGTGGCACGTGACAGGTGTAACACGTGGCACGAGGCAGGCCCAACGTAACACGTGCCACGTGACAGGTGTAACACGTGGCACGAGGCAGGTGTAACACGTGGCACGAGGCAGGCCCAATGTAACACGTGCCACGTGACAGGTGTAACATGTGGCACGAGACAGGTGTAACACGTGGCACGTGACAGGTGTAACACGTGGCACGAGACAGGTGTAACACGTGGCACGAGACAGGTGTAACACGTGGCACGAGGCAGTGGCAACAGTGACAAAGGTGGGCGTGATGTCACCGCTGGTGATGATGATGGTACCGATGATGCATCTACTGCTGATGATGAGGCTTACCCTGCCAATAATGAAGCTGCCGATGATGTTGATGATGAATCTGCTGCTGATGATGATGATAATGACTCTGGCAATGATGACTCTGCCACTGATGATGATGACTCTGGCACTGATGATGATGACTCTGCTGATGATGATGATGACTCTGCTGATGATGATGATGATGACTCTGGCAATGATAATGATGATGACTCTGACAATGATGATGATGATGACTCTGCTGATGATGATGACTCTGCTGACGATGACTCTGCTGATGATGATGACTGCTGATGATGAAGACTCTGGCAATGATGACTCTGCTGCTGATGATGATGACTCTGGCAATGATGATGATGACTCTGGCAATGATGATGATGACTCTGCTGCTGATGATGATGACTCTGCTGCTGATGATGACTCTGGCAATGATGATGATGATTCTGACAATGATGATGATGACTCTGCTGATGATGATGACTCTGGCAATGACTCTGCTGCTGATGATGATGACTCTGGCAATGATGATGACGACTCTGGCAATGATGATGACTCTGGCAATGATGATGATGATGACTCTGCTGATGATGATGACTCTGCTGATGATGATGACTCTGCTGCTGATGATGATGACTCTGGCAATAATGATGACTCTGGCAATGATGATGACTCTGGCAATGATGATGATGGCTCTGCTGATGATGATGACTCTCCTGATGATGATGACTCTGCTGCTGATGATGATGACTCTGGCAATGATGATGATGACTCTGCTGATGATCTTCTTTGGTTCTTTCGGTAAAGTCACGTAGAATGACAATAAAATAATAAATTGATCAAATAAAATAACACAATAATATTCTCACGACGTTTCGGCCACAACACAAGCGGCCTTTCACCTGATGAAGGCCGCTTTGTGTTGTGGCTGAAACGTCGTGAGAATATTATTGTGTTATTTTATTTTATCAATTTATTATTTTATTCTCATTCCACGTGGTGACTTTACCAAAAGAACCAAAGAAGATGAATCCTCGCAGTCACGAAAGCTTTAAATCTGCTGATGATGATGATGACTCTGGCAATGATGATGACTCTGCCGATGATGATGCCGATGATGATAATGATGACTCTGCTGATGATGATGATGATGACTCTGGCAATTATGTTGAATCTGCCAATGATGATGCCGATGATGATGACTCTGCCAATTATGATGATGAATTGGCCGATTAATCTGCCGATGACTCTGTCGATGATGATGCCGATGATGATGATGACTCTGTCGATGATGATGCCGATGATGACTCTGCCACTGATGATGATGACTCTGCCACTGATGATGACTCTGTCGATGATGATGATGACTCTGTCGATGATGATGCCGATGATGATGACTCTGTAGATGATGATGCCGATGATGATGATGATGACTCTGTCGATGATGATGCCGATGATGATGATGATGACTCTGCCACTGATGATGACTCTGTCGATGATGATGCCGATGATGATGACTCTGTCGATGATGATGATGATGACTCTGCCACTGATGATGATGCCGATGATGATGATGACTCTGTCGATGATGATGCCGATGATGATGATGATGACTCTGCCACTGATGATGACTCTGTCGATGGTGATGACTCTGTCGATGATGATGCCGATGATGATGATGACTCTGCCACTGATGATGACTCTGTCGATGATGATGCCGATGATGATGATGATGACTCTGCCACTGATGATGATGCCGATGATGATAATGACTCTGCCACTGATGATGATGACTCTTGCCACTGATGATGACTCTGTCGATGATGATGCCGATGATGACGATGATGATGATGACTCTGCTGCTGCTGCTGCTGCTGCTGCCACTTCCACTCCGGTCGCCTGCCTGCCCAGTGGCCGTGCCGGAGCCTCACGGCGACGCAAGTCTCAACAAATGTGTTTTTTTTAAATGATGCGGCAAATAAAATTACTCGCACACGGGGACGGCTGCCGCTGGGGGTGCCCCTAGGCCAGACCACACAGCAGCAACAGCAGCGATCATCGCTACCCTCCTACCGACAGCTGACTGACGCACAGGGACAGCTGCCACTGGGGGTGCCCCTAGGCCAGACCACACAGCAACAGCAGCAATCATCGCTACCCTCCTACTGACAGCTGACTGACACACAGGGACAGCTGCCACTGGGGGTGCCCCTAGGCCAGACCACACAGCAGCAGCAGCAGCGACCATCGCCCCTTCTGCAAACACATGGCAAGACTACCCTCCTGAACCAGTCCTGAGTGTGAGTGAGTGTGTGAGTGTGTGAGTGTGTGTGTGAGTGTGTGAGTGAGTGTGTGAGTGAGTGTGTGAGTGTGTGTGTGAGTGAGTGTGAGTGAGTGTGTGAGTGTGTGTGTGAGTGTGTGAGTGAGTGTGTGAGTGAGTGTGTGAGTGTGTGTGTGAGTGAGTGTGTGAGTGAGTGTGTGTGTGTGTGAGTGAGTGTGTGAGTGTGTGAGTGAGTGAGTGAGTGTGTGAGTGTGTGTGTGAGTGAGTGTGTGTGTGAGTGAGTGTGTGAGTGTGTGAGAGAATGAGTGTGAGTGAGTGAGTGTGTGAGTGAGTGTGTGTGTGAGGGAGTGTGTGAGTGTGTGTGTGAGTGTGTGAGAGGGTGAGTGTGTGAGTGTGTGTGTGAGTGTGTGAGTGAGTGTGTGAGTGTGTGAGTGAGTGTGTGTGTGAATGTGTCAGTGAGTGTGTGAGTGAGTGCGTGTGTGAGTGTGTGTGTGAGTGTGTGTGGGTGTGTGAGAGGGTGAGTGTGTGAGTGAGTGTGTGTGTGAGAGTGTGTGTGAGTGTGTGTGTGAGTGAATGAGTGAGTGTGAGTGAGTGAATGAGTGAGTGTGTGTGTGAGTATGTGAGTGAGTGTGTGAGTGAGTGAGTGTGTGAGTGTGTGAGTGAGTGTGTGAGTGTGTGTGTGAGTGTGGTGAGTGAGTGTGTGAGTGTGTGTGTCAGTGAGTGTGTGAGTGTGTGAGTGAGTGTGTGAGTGTGTAAGTGAGTGTGTGTGTGATTGAGTGTGAGTGAATGAGTGAGTGTGTGTGAGTGTGTGATTGAGTGTGTGAGTGAGTGTGTGTGTGAGTGAGTGTATGAGTGTGTGTGTGAGTGAGTGAGTGAGTGTGTGATTGAGTGTGTGAGTGAGTGAGTGTGTGAGTGAGTGTATGAGTGTGTGTGTGAGTGAGTGTGTGAGTCAGTGTATGAGTGTGTGTGAGTGAGTGAGTGTGTATGTGAGTGAGTGTGTGTGTGAGTGTGTGTGTGAGTGTGTGTATGAGTGTGTGTGAGTGTGTGAGTGAGTTAATGTGTGAGTGAGTGTGTGAGTGAATGAGTGAGTGAATGAGTGAGTGTGTGAGTGAGTTTGTGTGTGAGTGTGTGAGTGTGTGTGTGTGTGAGTGAGTGAGTGTGTGAGTGAGTATGTGAGTGTGTGAGTGAGTGTGTGTGTGAGTGTGTGAGTGTGTGTGTGAGTGTGTGTGAGTGAATGAGTGAGTGAGTGTGAGTGAGTGTGTGTGTGAGTGAGTGAGTGAATGTGTGAGTGAGTGTGTGAGTGAATGAGTGTGT